GAGTGGAAAAAACCCAAGGGTGGCCAAGTTAAGACCTGGCACGAGGATGTGAAAACCCTAACCAGGAGTCTGGGTCACACAGGTCCTGTTAGGCTCCCTGGTTGGGGACCTCGGGATGATCGTAACCGATGGTTAGAGACACTGAGCGATATGGCTGGGNAAACAGTGGCGTTCGTGCATATCCTCAATTTCTTCCAAACCTTAGTCCACTGAACTTCTCCATTTTCCTTTCGAATCCACCTTCAACTTTCCTTTCTTCTCCCATTCTTCATCCCAATGGGCAGCCAAAAAACAGCAACCAAAACCGGCGCACGAAAGTGCATGGGTAATGATTGTTCAAACTGAAAACTGTCCATGTATTTACCGAGCGCATGACTGACGAAGTGTACAGGAAACCGCTCCCAAAAGCGAATCATTGTAAGTGCACTTGCACCTTTGACATTTGGTTAATCTTATCCAGCGCTGTTATCTCCCATTTAACAATTAAACAGTCATTGACGACATAAACAGCAATAATTGCTGCTAAGCTCACCCATCAGCATCCGAATCGGTGAACCACTCACAGTTCAAATAGAGGATCTGGCTAAAACCCCTGATTTCGAACCACAGACGGTTCTGTTGTGGCAATGGTCTCGGAATCTGTTGAGCTACAAGGCTTATTGTGCACCTGCGACGTTTAACCCCCTCCAAATGGTTTGTTATCCGATGAACTGGACACCGGCCTCCCAAAGAGTTCAGTTTTTAAGTACTGACTTGCTGCTTTGCGAGTGGGGCATTGGCTCTAGTTTCCGATTCCCTAAGAAAATTCACTTGATTTTATTTGGGCAAACTACCAGTTCACTGTTCACTGTCTTTAATACGACTCGTGTGAAATACAGTAATATAATTGATCTCTGATCAAGCAACCTGATGTTGATAAACTTTATACGATGTTTAAAGAGAGACTGAATGTCGCGAACAACTCTTCAGTTATCTGAAATAGACATGTGTTTCCTAAAAACCTTAAAGATTCCTGGTCTGTTCACCGAAAAAAACTACTCTCTCGATCAAGAAAGACTGATGACCTATCAGAACCCTTGTCTCATTCACGTAGTGTTGGACAAGCGACGTTCGCTGCATCTAACCCTTCGCGAAGCCACCGAGCCTCGCATTCTGGAGTAGGAGGAAATAAACAATGATTAATTGAACACTTGGATCGTCTGATAACCGTCCACCAAAAGATCTGCGAATGTAGTAACAGTAAATGAGAATAATTGCTGCGATATCAGTAACTACTCCCTAATCTTTGTTTCCTTCAATCCTAACCTCAATCTACCAAACAAATGGCGTGGTGTGCGACAATTACGGAGGTCTCAACCCGATCGACATAATTGTAATAACATGTGTTATATGACAATCCTTTAATCGGTCGCTTCCTCCTTGAAATCGTATCTTTGCATACTCGATTAATGGAGGTAAAAAATAAAATGAAAGTGAGCATACTCATTTATCATCATCATCATCTTCCTGCGTAAGCTGCTTAGAAATTCAGGCGGTTTTCTCCTTTGCTGCGCTACTGTCATTGGTCACACAACTACCCATGTAGGAAAAGCAAAGAGCACTTGGTAGACTAACAAGTGTTATTTCCACGTTCGGTATGCGCTTTGCACCTTCAAAGTGCAAAGTGATGCTGCAAGACTGGGTGTCGCCTACTCTCGCTCTAAAACTAAATGGCCAGAAATCACTTACTTACAGTGTCCGTTAAATACCTACGTTCAATACCTGTGTTTTCTACAACGAAGTTGAATAGGAACGGTGAAAGAGGGCACCGTTGATGAACGCCGCTGCCGGTGACGAATGGCGTACTTATTTCATCATAGACCCTTGCACGACCAGAGGCATTTGAGTACAGTGACCTCAGTAAGTTGATGTACTTCTGGGGCATTCCTTTGCGAAGAACGGAACCCAGAGTTTCGCGGTCAACTGAGTTGAAGGCTCCTTTCAGGTCAAGGAACACTACGATCGTTGGTTGGCGATGGGTGTGACGCAGCTCAAGGTCCTGACGCAACGTAAAAATTTGATCAAAACATCCACGACCATACCGGAATCTGGCTTGCTGTTCACGGATTATGGTCTCTCTTAAAGACGTCAAACGTCGAAGTATAACTGACGATCGGGATCAAACTCATCCCACGATGGTTTTCGCAATCGATGCTGGATCCTTTCTTGAAAATGGGAACGATTAGTCACTCGCCCCAAGATGATAAAATGCGTTTTTGCGTCCTAATGTTGCGCAGTAGGGTAGTAATAGAGCTTACNCCCGCCATATTGAAAAGAGTGGGAGTGAGCTCATCCGGTTCTGGTGCCTTTCCTCGCTTCAGAGCTTGAATGCAAGTCCGAACTTTTGCTTTGCTGGAGGATCGCACAACATTGCCCGCGGAGCTTCAGCTGGTGATGAAGCAGTCTGGTTAACACAAGGCCAGCCGAACTGTTCGCTGAAGTATTCCGCGCAGCGATCAAGTCGTTGATCCATGTTGTGAATAGTTTGCCCCCCCCTCCTTATTACAGACTGTTTCATTTACTGGAGTATTGCGTATCAGTTGGAAAATTCGTTGACTATTCCCTGATGCAACTGCTACTTCTGTTTCACTGGCTATTGTTGTCCACCAGTTCTCTCAGCCTTTCTTGAAACTCTTCGTGAGCTGACGTCGCAGATGCCACCTAACTCTGTTTCGATCTTGGGAAGTCGGGGCTTCTCGTTTTTTCTTTATTAGGGCCGCTGACTCATGAGATATCCGATTGCTCTGACGGGCTTCAGGCTCAGACCCACAAGCAGCATTCGCAGCGGAATGTGTTGCTCGCCTAATCTGATCCCACTGTTCATTTATATCATCACTTTGAAGGGCGCTTAGCTCACGCAATAGCTCTGACTCATAGCTTGCATGAACGACTGGAACAGATGGTGTTGAGCCATACGAGTTTGCTGGTTTTATCGTCGACTTGTCAGCCGAAGAGTGAATCGCATCAAAACTAAGGCGTGGTCAGACTGAATACAGGTGGTCCAACAGGACCTGCAATTTCGCACTGAGCCGCGCCAACGGTAGCTTACTGCTATGTGGTCGATTTGAGTTAGCGCCACGTTGTCCATCGAGAGCTGTGTCGGAAGTTGGCACTGAATAGGAACAGATGATGATCTGCGCATAACTGAAGAAGTCGATCATTATCTGTTCGTTGGCAAGGTAGAGCACAACTACCACCTGGGCATACATACTCATTCCTGTTAAACGGATTTTCATAGCCGAAAGATAGGCATACTCACTCCAACCATGAATACTTTCGCCGCGGCAAGAGACGCGTAGACCAGAGAATACTCTGACATTGGTATAAGACAGAGCAATCCGTTATAGGCTGTTTCGGTGATTTTAGGGCTGCTCGCAACTCAGTAACCAATTGCTCTATGAACTGTTCTACGAACATATGGTTTTTCGTTAATACACAAAGAGCATTACAGTAACTGGGGTTAACCCTGTTGGCAAATCACACTGTAAAAGGAAGTGTGAATGTGCGTTAACAAGTGAACCGGTTTATTGGACCTCGTTTTAAGGAGCAGTAGAAGATAGGTGGGAGAGCGTTTCGTAGTCTACCGGTTTCCGGGGTAAACGAAGTTTGGGAAGAAGAAAGAGTGAAGTATTGCATCTTGTGACAGAAATCTGATAGCTGCCTGTGTACAGGTTGGGCAAGTGAAAGTTACAGGATAAAGAACTGTTGTAAATTCCGAAGAACAAGATCCAAAATATCAATGGTTAAATAAAAACAACTTTGCAACTGTTCGTCGATAGGCCGCGGTGAGCCAGTCCAATGCTTTCGTACATTCACATTCTGGAATCCGTAATTCTCCTCCGAGTCTTTTGAGCCGCCCCACCCCCGATACTGACAACTGGTCGTGAAGCTTCGCCACTTTTCCTGTAAGAGGATCTGCCTTGACCTGGACAACCTGGCAGTATTTCGCCCACATGCTAATCACGGAACGTTTTTCTTTTTTATAGAGATTATTGTACCATGATTTGTTTGGCACACAGTCAGGCGTCGGACATGTGTGAATTACATAAAAATATACTGTAAGAGGACTGCAAGTGTTTGACCACCGCTGTTCTGCTCAGATCATCAACGTGGCTTTGAAAGATGTGGTCTTTTTTGGTACGACTAGACAACACTGTTTTAACACCGAAAATTTGTCTGAACATAGAAAAAAAAACCATCTCATTGTTTCCTTCTCAAAAAATAATTAATTACTCATATTGGTTTGATTTGGAAAAAGTTATTGTGAAAGAATAGTTTTCCTGGTTCAATTGGAACCAAAAATTGGCGCCACTACTGCTCTGATCTTTTTACATTTTCTCTGGCATCCAACTTGGAGAGGCATATAAGCACATTGAAGGTCAGGTTGGTCAGATACTGAAAAAGCTATCTTTTTATGGCATTGTTAAATGCTTCTCCTTCGTTTATTATCCACAAATCCCATGAAATAGTATCTACTAGTGACAGTTTCACCGTTTGTATGCAATTCACTCGTCGATTTTTAACACAAACTGGTTCGGCCTAATAATTTGGTCATGCTTATCACTCAATTTCCCTCATTTCTCCGATCTCACCACTCATCATCATCTCTTTGCATCGCTCCATAGATCCAGCTAGAACCCATCTAACCGGATCGGTACCGGAATCCTACATCGATCGAGTCCGAGTGGTGCACAGTCAAGGCTCTTTTGGAAGTCGTGGTTACCAGTCGCATTGGGTGCTGAGTGAAGCTGAGAAAAATCTGCTGCGCACACACACCACTGCTGTCAGTGCGCGAATGTTGTATCATTTGGCACAACAGGTACGCCCAGCAAGGTCCGGTAGGGAAATTTCCCAACATCTTGCGATAGAAGTAATGTTTTTAAGTGTTTTGAACTCCTCAGTCGATAATTCACCCAAAGACGCAAAATAGAACTCCCCAAACTCATTCATTTTCCACACGAGTCATCGAGCTTATCCGTAATGGTGATATTTCTCAGGCAAATGTACTAAACATCATTTTCGGGACGACAACCGGAAAGATTTTCTGACTTCTCTGGGCTGTTACAAAGTCTTTTTAAGGGATAAGTGATCATCATACCATATGCGGTGATCAGAAAGGAGGTGAAAACGAAACACAACGTCATTGGCCAACAATAAACCATATTGATTAATTTATGGAAAATCAATGAACGAACGCTTTATTTCAAAGAAGGAAAGGATTTTAGTCATCGTTTAGGAAATATCGTTTCTGAGATGTTTAGGGACGAGGTAAATCCTAAATTGGAAGGAAATAGAGAACCAGAGTGTCGCAGACTCCGCACACTTTTCCAGTACAAATGCACCGTTTTAAGGGGATTATATTTTCTTATCAGTAATGCCCCCATCCTTCATTTGCTTTTCTGAGTTTATAACATTGCTTGTTATCAGGTCAATTTGTGCACCAATATTGTTATGCATATGTCCACCTTACTCCTAATCTTCCTCATGATCATTGCGTCCACCGAGTGCAACTCCGTTCTTACTTTCTCACCGTGCCAAATATTGCGTCCGATCTTCGCAGAATCCAGTAGTCCCCGTGCGTTATTTTAGTATTGATCGAGTATTTCGCAACGAGACATTGGATGCCACACATTTGGCCGAATTTCATCAGGTCGAAGGGCTTGTCGCAGACTATGGCCTAAGTTTGGGCCATCTGAAAGCGGTCATTCGTGCATTCTTCCGAAAATTGGGTTTGGTTCAGTTGCGTTTCAAACCGGCCTACAATCCGTACACGGAACCTAGCATGGAAATATTTGCATATCATCCCGGTAAGTGGTGTCCTCATTCGGTTTATTCATTTGCAAACTTCGTCCGATGATAGGAAACGGAACCAATTCCGATGTGCTTTCTTCCGCTCCCGGGTCATCCCTTTATTGCTTGCTGTCACGATGATCTTGCCAGATTCAGAATGTCTGTAGTAGAATGGAGCTGCACGTCACTTGGGGAGTTAGCGGTGATCACTGGCTTGATTAAGATCCAGATATATTAAGCACCTTGAATGTTCAATCCTATCCAAAAGGGATACGATTTAATCAAATTGGTGCAGGACCCCAATGGATTTTGGTTCTCACACACTGACCAGCAGTCTTGCTGTTCGTGCTTTGGCTGGACAAAGGCTCTAGTTGGAAACCCCTCACCACCCACCCACCCCTTAAAAAATACTTACTTTGACACTGCTGATACTATAGTAACCTAATTCGCCAGTTGTATTGGCCAGTCTGTATTCTCGCTGAATACTTTAATCAATTTGATACTTCCTTCCCACCTACTCCAGTTTTTTTCCTTGCCCCACCTTAAGCGACTGTCCTGCTTCTGTCCGTACATGACCGGTAGGCATAACATAACAGTGTAAATGAACTGTCTGTTCTGCTTAGAACTGAAGTAAGACGCCTGAACTGAATCTACGTCAAATCTGTTTTGGGTAATAGAAGCTGTCGTGCGATGTGGACTGCCCTGCGTAAACTCCGTGGCTCAGGCATCGGTTCTTGTCCCAACGTTGAAGTATTAAATCATCAATTCGCTTCCCTACCTGCCCATAGTTCGTTCGCACCTCCTTTAATAACCCATGGTGCAAGAAACTTAATTCTTCACGTTTTGAGGGCCAACAAAGCTCACGGTTCCGGTCGATTAGCATCTCATTTGTTTAAAGCATGCGCCGATCAGCTTGCATCACCTATTGCTGAATTGTTTGTCATCCGGAAAGATCCCCAAATGTTGGATGTCGACCCGCATCAGACCCATCCCAAAGAAAGGATCGTCAACGTACCGTCCAGTATGCCTACACATCTGTGTTGCTGCAAAGCTTGACACCCCTATGTAACTCTCATGATCATTTACAGTTTGCCTATAAACTCTATCTGTCCACACTGGACGCTGTTGTTAAGATTATTCACTCTCCTGCATCTGTCTTAGACAAAGGCGCAGGTAACGCTCATTTGAATTTTCTCGGTTATACAAACGCCTTTGGTTCTCTCTACCGAAGAGTAGTTGTTGAACTTCTTTCTGAGTGTGGTCCGTCACTGAAGTTTTGAGTGTTGTAATGGACTACTTCTCCCGTAGGACCCAGTTTACTTCATTTAATGGCACACACTTGTCTTCTATTAACATTGATACTGGTGTTTTTCAAACTGCTGTTTTCCCCCTTTAATTATTCTATGTGCATACAGTGTCTCCTCATTCCTAGCCACTTTATTGCTTGTAATTATGCTGATGATATTGGGATTCGTTGCACTTCTCTTATTTCAGACAGTTTTCCGCCTCTTCAGGACAGCTTTAATGAACTTCACAATTGTTCTGTGCCCCCAATCCTTGTGTTTAATATCAATAAGTGCATTGTCCGTTCCTTTTAACGACCCCGTTATCTTCCATTGATAAGTAATCTCCCTGATCCTATAGTTAGTAATCAACCATTCCCAAATATATTTCTGGTAAATACCTCGGTATCATCCTCACTCAAAACCTGCCCTGGTCTGCTTGTGTCATCAACGTTTTTACAAAAGATCGAAAACTGTCTTTTTATGCATACAGAGTCAGGAAACTGGCCGTCGCATAATCTCATTCTCATATTCGTGATCGCCTGCATCCTTCCACACTGATTATACTGCTCCCCAATATTCATCCATGGTCTAAAAAAGGATTTCACTTTATTTTCTCTATCCCTTAAACTTTTGGCCCCCTTTACTATAGAATTATTTTGGTTGAGTTTTTTTTATATTTCCAAGTGTTTTGACGCTTGTGATACCTTTATTGACAGAATAAAACGTGATCAAGTGCACTATCAGCAACGAGAAATCGTGAAAGCCGTGTCGAACTCGTTCCAGATATCAACTCCTTGCACGTACTTCCACACGTCGAAACAGTGTAATTCCATATCTTACTCGGTTATTGGTTATTCATAAGACAATTGTTAGACACCTCAGAAAAAGGCTGTTGCATTATTTTTTGGAATTTGTTATATTTTTGTTGATCGCAGTTTGTTTTACATATCCACCGTTCAATTTCGTAAATTGCTGAAAATCTACCCTTTGGGCGCATAAAACATTTCTTAACTCGACTTGACTATGATCATGGAGTTTTTGTGGGAGTCTGTTACGAATGACGTCACTATGGTTTTTTCTTCGAGGGCATACCTCTAGCCTTCGCACAGCCCACTGCGGACTGCAAGGCAGCATGTCGATACATGGTTGTCGGTGGCTCCATAGGAACCCATTCGCCATTTAGTAGATTGAACTGTAACCCAGGGGTTCATGCATCTTTGTTAGCTGGGCGGATTTGGATGTTATAGTAGATTTCCCCCGCTCATTCTTAAGCAGCTACCTTGGCATGCCGTTCATCGTCTCATCAAGGCCTTCAGACCTCGGTTTCTCTCAACCTCGTTCAGCCCGCCTGTGAAGCGGTTTACCGGGATGTAGCGGCTGATATATGCCTCAGCTTCCAGGAACCACAAGTGAGAGTTGCGTACAGGATGGAGACCAAAGAGGAGGAGGATACCCTTAAGGACATGACAATCAACCAATCCAGGTTTTCTTCTCCTATCCATACCCCATACACCCAGATTAATTCACCAATGTAATAAATTGATTAAAAACCAACGCTTCGGTTTCCCACTATCTTACAAGATAACTCCCCGCTGTGCACTTGATACGTTTCAGCCCATGTAATTAAAGCTTGTGTGTGC